ACTTGAAAAATGTGCTTCTTTTACAGAAAGCTTTATGTATTTCTTTGAGGGAAACACAGTTTTATTAAGAAGCTAAATACACATTCATAAAATGTGCTGCTTCTTTCAAATTACCCCATATATTTAGGAGAGGAACACTCCATATACTACTAAAAATTCGTTGAACAGTTTACTGAAACTGTCTCTCTTTACATATAAATGCATGTGTGTTTTTCAAGAAATATTTTAAATGTGCCAATAGTGCATAGAAACGTTGAGAGAAACGTGCTTCCTTGAGGAAACTCACAATTCTATTAATAGGCCAAGTACACTTTCATAAAAATGCCAGATTCTTTCAACTACAGCACATATTTACTAGGGGAAGACCCCTTATATGTGTAACAATGCTTTGAAAAGTTTAAGGTAACTTGCTTCTTTTTAGAGATAAATGCACATGCCTTTCTCAAGAAATCATATAAATAGCATAAGAGTGCTTAGAAAAGTTAAAAGAAATGTGACTCTTTCACAGAATGCTGTGTGCATTTCTCTGAGGGAAACTCGTGATTCTATGAAGAAGCTGAATACACTTTCATAAAAGTGATTATTTCAAATTACAGCATATATTTACTAGGGGACACTCTGTGTACCTCTAACAATGCTTTGCACAGTTTCAAGAAATCTGTCTTCTCTTTACAGATAAATGCATATGTATTTCTAAAGAAATCCTATAAATGTGCTAAAAGTGCATACAAAAGTTAAAAGAAACTTGTTTCTATGACAGAAAACTTCCAGCATTTCTTTGAGGGAAACTCCTGATTGTATTAAGAATCTAAATACACTTTCAAAAAACATCTGATTCTTTCAAATTACAGCATATATTTACAAGGCATACTTGCAATATACGGCTAAAAATTTTTGAACAGTTTTCAGAAACTGTCTACTCTTTAAAAATAAACTCAAGTGTGTTTCTCAAGAAATCTTATAAATGTGTTAAGAATGAATAGAAAAGTTAAAAGAAATGGGGTCTTTTATCAGAAACCTTCATGCATTTCTTTTAGGGAAACTCAAGATTCTGTTAAGAAACTAAATACACTTTCATAAAAATGTTTGATTCTTTCAAATTTCCGCATATACTTAGTAGGGAAATACCCCTTATAACTCTAATGATGCTTTGAACTGTTTAAGAAAACTGTCTTCTCTTTACAGATAAATGAATGTTTGTTTCTCAAAAAATATATATAAATGAGCTAACATTGAATAGAAAAGTTAAAAGGAATGTGCTTCTGTCAAAGAAAGCTTTGTGCATTTCTTTGAGGTAAAGTCATGATTCTATTAAATAGGTAATACATTCTCATAAAATGTGCAGATTCTTTCAAATTACATCATATAGTTACCAGGGGAACACTCCTTATATGTCTAACAATTCTTTGAACAGTGTAAAGAAACTGTCATCTCTTAGAGATAAACGCATGGGTGTTTTTCAAGAAATCTTATAAATATGCTAATAGTGCATAGAAACACTAAACAATATGTGCTTCTTTCACAGAAAGTTTTGTGTGTTTCTTTGAGCAAAAGTCGTGATTCTCTTAAGAAGCTAAATACACTCTCAGTAAATGTTTTGACTCTTTCAAATTACAGGATATAATTACTAAGGGAGCACTTCTTATTCATCTAACAACACTTTGAACAGTTTAAAGAAACTGTATTCCCTTTAGAGATAAACCCATGTGTGTTTCTTAAGAAATCTTATAAATGTGCTAACAGTGAATAGAAAAGTTTAAAGAAATGTGCTTCTTTCACAGAAAGCTTCATGAATATCTAAGAAAGAAAGTCATGATTCTATTAAGAAGCTAAATATACTCTCATTAAATATGGTCATTCTTTCAAATTACGGCATATATCTACAAGGGGAAGACTCCTTAAATTTCTAACAATGCTTTGAATGGTTTGAGGAAAATGTCCTTTCTTTATAGTTAAACACATGTGCATTTCTCAATAAATTTTATAAATGTGCTAACATTGCATAGAAAATTTAAAAGAATCCTGCTTTTTTTTCTTAGAAAGTTTCTTCCATTTTTTTTGAGGGAAAGTCACAATTCTAATAAGAACATAAATACACTCTCATTAAGTGTGGTGATTCTTAGAAATTAAAGCATATAGTTACTAGGCAAACACTTTTACGTCTAACAATACTTTGAACAATTTAAGGGAACAGTCTTCTCTTTAGAGAAAAATGAATTTGCTTTTCTCAAGAAGTCTTATAAAAGTCCTAACAGTGCATAGAAACATTTAAAAACATGTGTTTCTTTTACAGAAAGCTTCGTGCATTTGTTTGAGGGATATTCACGATCCTATTAAGAAGCTAAATACACTCTCATTAAAGGTGGTGACTCTTTCAAATTACAGCATATAGTTACTAGGAGAACACTCCTTACATGTTTAACAAGGCTTTGACCAGTTTAAAGAAATATCTTCTCTTTAGAGATAAATTCATGTGTGTTTCTCAAGAAACATTATAAATGTGCTTACACTTTATAGAAAAGTTAAAAGATGTGTGCTTCTCTCACAGAAACCTTCATGCATTTCTTTGAAGAAAAGTCACAATTCTATTAAGAAACTAAATGCACTCTCATTAAATGTGGTGACTCAAATTACAGCATATGGTTACTATGGAAGCACTCGTACATCTAACAATGCTTTCAACAGTTTAAGGAAACTATCTTCTCTTTAGAGATAAAGGTATGTGTGTTCCTCAAGACATTTTATAATTGTGCTAACAGTCCATAGAAAAGTTAAAAGAAACGTGCTTCTATCACAAAAAGCTTCATGCATTTCTTGAGGGAAAGTCAAGATTCTTTTAATAAGCTAAATACACTATCATTGAATGTAGTGATTCAAATTACAGCTTATATTTACTAGAGCAACACTCCTTATATGTCTAAAAATGCTTTGAATAGTTTAAGAAAACTGCCTTTCTTTAGATATAAATGCATGTTTGTTTCTCAAGAAAACTTATAAATTTGCTAAGATTGCATAGAAAAGTCTAAAGAAAGGTATACTTCTTTCACAGAAATCTTTGCGTGTTTCTTTGAGGGAAACTCACAAGTCTTTGAAGAGCAAAATACACTCTCATTAAATGTGGAGATTCTCTCAAATATCAGCATTTAGTTACTAGTGCAACATACCATATACCTATAACAGTTCTTTGAACAATTCAAGGAAACTGCCTTCTCTTTAGAGTTAAACAGATGTGTGCTTCTCAAGAAATCTTATAATGTACTGAGAGTGCATGAAGTAGTTAAAAGATATGTACTTTTATCTTTATGTACTTTATATGCAAAGAAATCTTTGTTCATTTCTTTGAGGAAATCTCACGATTCTATTAGGAAGATAAATTGACTCTCATTAAATGTGATTTTTTTCAAAGTACACCATATAGTGACTAGGGGAACACTCCTAATATGTGTAACAATGCTTTGAACAGTTAACAAAAACTGTCCTTTCTTTAGAGAAAATGCATGTGAGTTTCTCAAGAAATCTAATAAATTTGTTACCAGTGCTTAGAAAAGTTAAAATACACGTGATTTTTTTTCATTGAATGCTTTGTGAGGTCTTTTTTGAGGGAATGTTACAATTCAATTAAGAAGCTAAATACACTCTCATAAAATGTAGTGACCCTTTCAAATTACAGCATACTGTTACGAGGGGAACACTCCTTATATATCTAACAATGCTTTGAAGAGTTTAAAGAAACTGTCTTCTCTTTATTGATAAATGCTTGTGCATTACTCAAGAAATCTTATAAATGTACTAACATTGCATAGAAAAGTTAAAAGAAATGTGCTTTTTTCTTAGTAATGTTTATGCGTTTCTTGAGGGGAATGTCAAGATTCTATTAAGAAGCTAAATACACTCTCATTAATTGTGTTGACTTTTTCAAATTACAGCATATAGTAACAAGGACAACATTCCTTATACGTCTAAAAAGCTTTGAACAGTTTAAAGACACTGTCTTCTCTTTAGAGATAAATGCATGTGCATTTCTCAAGACATCTTACAAATGTGCTAACAGAGCATAGAAAAGTTAAAAGAAACCTGCTTCTTTCACAGAAAGCTTTGTGCATTTCTTTGAGAGAAATTCATGATTCTATTAAGAAGCTAAATACACCCTCATTAAATGTGGTGACTCTTTCAAATTGTAGCATATAGTTACTAGGGGAAAACTCCTTATACCTCTAACAATGCTTTGAGCAGTTGAAGGAAACGGCCTTCTTTTTAGAGATAAATGCATATCTGTTTCTTAATAATTCTTACACATGTGGTAAGAGTGCATAGAAATGTTAAAAGACACATGATTCTTTCAGAGAAATCTTCAAGCTTTTCTTTGAGGGAAATTCACGATTCTATTAAGAAGCTAAATACACTCTCATTACATGTGATGATTCTGTCAAATTACAGTTTATAGTTACTAGTGAAACAGTCCTTACACGTCTAACATTTCTTTGAACAGTTTAAGGATCCTGTCTTCTCCTTAGAGATAAATGTATGTGCATTTCTGGTGAAATCTTATAAATGTGCTAACAGTGCATATAAAAGTTAAAAGATATATGCTTTTTAGTAGAAATCTTTGTGCATTTCTTTGACAGAAACTCACAATTCTATTAAGAAGCTAAATACACTTTCATTAAATGTGTTGACTCCTTCAAATTAGCATATATAGTTACTAGGATAACACTTCTTATACATATAACATTGCTTTGAAGTTTCTTGAAACTGTCTTCTGAATGCTGGGAAGAAGGGCAGAATGAGAGATGCCATGGATCTAGTTTTTAAGATGGACGCTGGTTAGAATCTTGCTGGTAATCCACAGTCATGTGGTGTCACACAGACTAATAAAAATGGGTTAAAGTAAGATGTAAGAATTAGCCAATAAGGTGGCTGACTTGGCTGCAGCTGTGGTGTGAGGCATGTGTTTGGGCCTTCACCATCCCCTAGCCCCCGGGAGCCCACCCGCCACGGCCATGCTGCACTTCTACATAGGATGCCTGAGCTACAATCTCCGCAAGAAGGACATACAGCGCTTTTTCAGTGGCTATGGCTGCCTCCTCGAAATGGACCTCAAAAATGGGTACGGTTTCATGGAGTTCGAGGACTCCCATGACACCGACGACGCTTACGAGCTGAACAGCAAGAAGCTGTGCGGCAAACAGGTGATCGTAGAGCACAGCCCGGGGCCCATGCCGTGACCGCGATGGCTACAGCTATGGAATCCGCAGTGGTGGAGGTGGATACAGCAGTCAGAGAACTTCTGGAAGGGACAAATATGGACCACCTATTCATACAGAATACAGGCTTATTGTAGAAAATTTGTCTAGTCGTTGCAGTTGGCAAGACTTAAAGGACTTCATGCAGCAAGCGGGAGAGGTGACATATGCAGATTCTCGCAAAGAATGCACAAATGAGGGTGTAATTGAATTTACATCCTACTCTGACATGAAGTGTGCTTTGGATAAACTGGATGGCACAGAAATAAATGGGATAAATACTAGGCTTTTTGAAGATAAGCCACAAACAAGCCATAGGTGCTTTTACTCTGGAAGTAGATTCAGATCACTATCTAGAAGAAGGTCACAGAGTTGGAGTCGCAGGAGCAGCCGCAGTAGATCTTGAAGCATCTTAAAAAGTCATTCCCAGACTCTGAGGCTGGGCTGTGGGCTCAGCCGGGCAGGGGCAGTTCCTGTGCTCTGAGAGCCTGCCTGACAGGCAAGCCCTGAATCACCTCAGCCACATTCCTGGCCTGCAAGAAACAGTGATCTTCTAGCAGACATCCATTGGAGGAGGGGTGAGTTGCTCCTGGCCCGAGGACTTCGGCTAGGAGGAATTCAGACTTTCCCCACCCCCCCTCGACTTTCTGGTTGCCCTGCAGTGGTGGCTATACCCTGCTGAGCTCTCCCGAATCCCATCCCAGCCCTCATACAGGTACACCTCCCTCTCTTTCTCCCCTCCCCCTGGGGCCACAAGATCTCCCCACAGCTGCTCCCTTGCGTGCTGGGACGGGGCTGTGAGTGCAACCCGGCACGAGGGAGTGCCTGTGTTTCAATAGACTGCCTGAAGAAAGGTAGACATTCTGTCAGTGAAGTCCCTGCTCAACAAGGGAACCTGACCTGGTACCAGAAGATCCAATATAGAGCAGTTGAAGGAAAAGATGGGCAGATGCCAAGGCAAGAACTCCTCCAACAATCTAAAAAACAACATGAAATCACCAGATCCCAACGACCCTACAATAGAAGGACTTGAACCTCTTAATTCAGAAGAATTGGAAAAAACTGCCATGATGAAAGCAATAGAGTCCCTTAAACAGGATATGAATAATTCCCTTAAAGAACTGGATGAGAAGTACAACAAAAGGATTGAAGAAATGAGTAAAGAAATGGATGAGAAATATAACAAAAAGTTTGAAGAAATGAGTAAATCCGTGAATGATACATTGGGAAACCAAGAAAAAACAATCAAACAGGTAATGGAAACAGTTCAAGAATTGAAAACTGAAATGGAGGCAATGAAGAAAACACAAAATGAGGGCCGGTTGGATATGGAAATCTAGGTAAACGAACAGAGACTACAGAATCAAGCATAACCAATAGGATACAAGAGATGGAAGAACGAATCTCAGAGTCTGAAGCTACCATAGAGAAAATAAATGCTCAGATCAAAGAAATCAACAAATCCAACAAATTCTCATCACAAAACATTCAAGAAATCTGGGACACAATAAAAAAAACCAAATCTAAGAATAATAGGGATTGAAGAAGGAGAAGAACTGCAGATCAAAGGCCCAGAAAATATATTCAACAAAGTTATAGAAGAAAACTTTCCCAACTTAAAGAATGATATTCCTATGAAGGTTCAAGAAGCATACAGAACACCGAATAGACTTGATCAAAAAAAAATCCCCTCACCATATAATAATCAAAACAAAAAACATACAGATTAAAGAAAGAATATTAAGAGCTGCAAAGGAAAAAGGTCAAGTGACTTATAAAGGTAAACCGATCAGACTTACACCAGACTTCTCTATGGAAACCATGAAAGCCAGAAGGTCCTGGATAGAGGTACTGCAGAAACTAAGAGACCATGGATGCAAACCCAGACTACTATACCCAGCCAAGCTATCATTCACTGTCAATGGAGAAAACAAAATATTCCAGGATAAGAACAAATTTAAACAATTCGTAGCCACAAACCCAGCCTTACAGAAAGTAATAGAAGGAAAATCGCAACCCAAGGAATCCAACATGGCCAACACTGCCTACAATAACTCAGACATCTAGCGACCGTTCACGAGCTTAACTCAAAGAAGGAACACATACAAACTCTATTAAACAAACAAACAAAAAATAATAATAACCAGAGTCAACAACCACTGGTCATTAATATCACTTAATATTAATGGACTCAATTCACCTATAAAAAGGCACAGACTAAGAGATTGGATACGAAAACAGGATCCAACATTCTGCTGTTTACAAGAAACACACCTCAACCACAAAGACAGACATCTACTCAGAGTAAAGGGTTGGGAAAAGGTTTTTCAAGCAAACAGACTTAAGAAACAAGCAGGTGTGGCCATTCTAATTTCCAACAAAATTGACTTCAAACTAAAATCAATCAGAAGAGATGGAGACAGACATTTTATACTCATAACAGGAACAATTCACCAGGAGGAAGTCTCAATCCTGAATATCTATGCCCCTAATATAAAGCCTCCTACTTATGTAAAAGAAACACTTCTAGAACTCAAGGCAGTCATCAATCCACAGACACTAATAGTAGGAGACTTCAACACACCTCTCGCACCAATGGACAGGTCAATCAGACAGAAACCCAGCAGATAATTAAGAGAATTATTAGAGGTATTGAATCAAATGGACTTAACAGACATCTATAGAACATTCCACCCAAATAGGAAAGAATATACCTTCTTCTCTGCAGCTCATGGAACCTTCTCGAAAATTGACCACATACTCGGTAACAAAACAAACTTCCACAGATACAAAAAAATATTAGTAACCACCTGTGTCCTATCAGACCACCATGGATTAAAGTTAGAATTCAACAACAGTGCTACCCCCAGGAAGCCAACAAATTCATGGAAGTTGAACAGTCAACTACTGAATCACCCCTGGGTCAAGGAAGAAATAAAGAAAGAAATTAAAGTCTTCCTTGAATTTAATGAAAATAAAGACACAACATACTCAAAACTATGGGACACTATGAAAGCAGTGCTAAGAGGAAAGTTCATAGCACTAAGTGCCCAATTAAAGAAAACGGAGAAAGCACACATTGGAGACTTAACAGCACACTTGAAAGCTCTAGAAAAAAAAGAAGCTGATACACCCAGGAGGTCTAGAAGACTGGAAATAATCAAACTGAGGGCTGATTTCAACAAAATAGAAACACAGAAAACAATCCAAAGAATCAATGAAACAAAAAGCTGGTTCTTGGAGAAAATCAACAAGATTGACAAACCCTTATCCAAACTAATCAAACGGCAGAGAGACAACTTGCAAATTAATAAGGTCAGATGAAAAGGAGGACATAATCACAGACATAGAGGAAATTCAGAGAATCATTAGATCTTACTACGAAAATTTATATGCCACAAAGTTGGAAAATGTAAAAGAAATGGACATTTTTTAGATAAGTACCATATACCAAAGTTGAACCAAGACCAGCTGAACAATCTAAATAGACCTGTCGGTCGTGAAGAATTAGAAGCTGTTATCAAAAATCTCACTACCAAAAAAAGTCCTGGACCAGATGGTGTCAATGCAGAATTCTACCAGAACTTCCAGGAAGAGCTAATACCTATACTCCTTAATGTATTTCACAATATAAAAACAGAAGAGTCATTGCCAAACTCTTTTTATGAAGCTACAGTTACCCTGATACCAAAACCACACAAAAACACACAACCAAGAAAGAGAATTACAGACCAATCTCACTCATGAACATTGACGCAAAAATACTCAATAAAATACTGGCAAACCGAATCCAAGAATACATTAGAAAAATCATCCATTATGATCAAGTGGGCTTCATCCCAGAGATGCAGGGTTGGTTCAACATACGCAAATCTATCAATGTAATCCATCATACAAATAAACTGAAAGAAAAAAACCAAATGATCATTTTATTAGATGCTGAGAAAGCATTTGACAAAATTCAACACCCCTTTATGATAAGGGTGTTGGAGAGATTGGGTTTACGAGGATCATACCTGAATATAATAAAAGCAATTTATAGCAAACCGACAGCTACCGTCAAATTGAACGGAGAGAAACGCAAAGCCATTCCACTAAAATCAGGAACACGACAAGGCTGTCCACTCTCTCCATACCGCTTCAATATAGTACTTGAAGTTCTAGCAATAGCAATAAGACAACATAAGGGAATCAAGGGGATTCGAATTGGAAAGGATGAAGTTAAACTTTCGTTATTTGCAGACGATATGATAGTGTACATAAGCGACCCCAAAAACTCTACCAAAGAACTCCTACAGTTGATAAACACCTTTAGTAATGTGGCAGGATACAAGATCAACTCCAAAAAATCGGTTGCCCTCCTATACACAAAGGACAAAGAAGCAGAGAGGGAAATCAGAGAAACATCACCCTTCACGATAGCCACAAATAGCATAAAATATCTTGGGGTAACTCTAACCAAGGAAGTGAAAGACCTATTTGACAAGAACTTTAAGTCCTTGAAGAAAGAAATTGAGGAGGATACCAAAAAATGGAAAGATCTCCCCTGTTCTTGGATTGGGAGAATCAACATAGTAAAAATGGCAATTCTACCAAAAGCAATCTATAGATTCAATGCAATCCCCATCAAAATCCCATCAAACTTCTTCACAGACCTTGAGAGAACAATAATCAAGTTTATATGGAAAAACAAAAAACCCAGGATAGCCAAAACAATCTCATACAATAAAGGAACTTCTGGAGGCATTACCATCCCTGACTTCAAACTCTATTACAGAGCAACAGTGTTGAAAACAGCTTGGTATTGGCATAAGAACAGAGAAGTCGACCTATGGAATCGAATAGAAGACCCGGATATTAACCCACAAATTTATGAACACCTGATTTTTGACAAGGGTGCTAAAGGTATACAATGGAAGAAGGAAAGCATCTTTAACAAATGGTGCTGGCATAACTGGATGTCAACCTGTAGAAGAATGAAAATAGATCCATGTCTATCACCATGCACAAAACTCAGGTCCAAATGGATTAAAGACATCAACATTAATCCGACCACTTTGAACCTGATAGAAGAGAAAGTGGGAAGTAGTCTACAAGATATAGGCACAGGAGACCACTTCCTAAGCAGAACCCCAGGAGTGCAGACAATAAGAGAAACAATGAATAAATGGTACCTACTGAAACTAAGAAGCTTCTGTAAAGCAAAGGACACTGTCAGTAAGACAAAAAGGCTACCTTCCGACTGGGAGAAGATCTTCACCAACCCCTCATCAGACAAAGGTCTGATCTCCAAAATATACAAAGAACTCAAGAAACTAGACACTAAAACCCTAATTAACCCAATTAAAAAATGGGGTACTGAACTGAACAGAGAATTCACAACAGATGAATTTCGAATGGCCAAAAGGCACTTAAGGTCATGCTCAATGTCCTTAGCCATCAGGGAAATGCAAGTCAAAACAACTTTGAGATATCATCTTACACCTGTCAGAATAGCCAAACTCAAAAACACCACTGATAGCCTATGCTGGAGAGGATGTGGAATGAGGGGAACTCTCATCCATTGTTGGTGGGAATGCAAACTTGTGCAGCCACTGTGGAAATCAGTGTGGCGGCTTCTCAGGAAACTGGGAGTCAACCTCCCTCAGGACCCAGCAATTCCACTCTTGGAAATATACCCAAGAGATGCCCTAACATACTGCAAAAGCATTTGTTCAACTATGTTCATAGCAGTACTATTTGTAATAGCCAGAACCTGGAAGCAGCCTAGGTGCCCCTCAATAGAAGAATGGTTAAAAAAGGTGTGGAAGATATACACATTAGAGTTTTACTCAGCGGTAAAAAATAATGACATCTTGAATTTTGCATGCAAATGGATGGACATAGAAAACGCTTTACTGAGTGAGGTAAGCCAAACCCAAAAAGAGGAACACGGTATGTATTCACTCATAAGTGGATTCTAACCATAATTAAAGGTCTTTGAGCCTGTTATTCATGATCCTAGAGAAGCTAAATAAGAAGATGAACCTGATGAAGATTATTTAGCTATCCGCCAGGAGGTAGGAAATAGACAAGAGTCCCAGGTAACCTCGGGTGCATGGGGGGGTGGGAGGGTTGTTGGAAGGGGAGACGGTTAGAAAGAAGGAAGTAGGGGAGGAATGGGCAAAGCTCGGTGGACCGGGATGTGGGGGAGGGAGGAAGGATGAATATGGGATCAGGGAAGAATATAGTTCAACTAAGGGAGTCATTTTTGGGATTACAGGAGACTTGATTATATATGGGATCCCAGGTCCAAGGAGAGATCCCCAGATTGTTCTCTGGACAGAGGAGAGGGTGCCTGAACCGGCCTTGGCCCATAACCATACTGATGAATATTTTGCTTATCACCATAGATCCTTCATCTGGAGATGGATGACGATACAGACGGAGACCCACATTGGAGCACCGGACTGAGCCCCCCAAGGTCCAAATGAGGAGCAGAAGGACGAAGAAAATGAAAAAAGAAATAAGGACTGCGAGGGATGCTATCACCCACTGATACAAGGGGACGGATCTAATGAGAGCTTACCAACGCCAGTTGGACTGGGACTGAACGAGCACGTGATCCAACCAGATTCTCTGAATGTGGCCGGATTCTCTGAATGTGGCTAGCCCGGAGTCTTTCTGAAAAGCCATTGACAATGACACTGGGACTTGTTTCCTCTGCATATACAGGATTTTGGGGATCCAGTCTGTTTGGATTCTCACCTTCCTGGACCTGGAGGGAGGGGGAGGAGCTTGAACTTCCCACAGGGCAGGAAACCCTGTCAGCCCTTAGGGACGAAGAGGGAGGAGGAGAGGGAGTGGGGGGAGTGGGAGGGTGTTGGGAGGTGGGGCGGAAATGGAAACTTTTATAATTTAATAAAATTACTTTTAAAAAAAGATATTTTTGACTCCAAAAAAAAAAAAAGTCATTCCCAATCTAGGTCACGGAGCAAAGGTGGATCCCGATCCCCCTCAAAAGGCAGGAAATCCAGATCAAAGAGCAAATCTAAGCCCAAGTCTGATCGGTGTTCCCACTCACATTCAAGAAGCAGATCTAAGGATGAGTCTGGGAAGTCCCAAAATAGGTCATGTGCTCAGTCTCCCAAAGAAAATGGAAAAGGAGATACAAAGTCAAAATCCAAATCCCAGAGTCAGTCTCAATCCCATTCACCTCTGTTGGATCCACCTTCAAAGACCTATTCTGCGTCCCCTCCACCAAAAAGAGCTTCCAGGTCCCATTCTAGATATCGTTCAAGGTCCAGATCAAGTTCCAGAGATTAAACCTGAACTCTATATTCTTTGCACACAATTAATGGAACACTTTCCTACTTGCTTAGGCAGTTACCTTCCAAGTTTGTACTTGGCCTCTTCTTCAAGAGGATTTTCTGAAAAGGGAACATAGGAATTTAATCTGTGGCCAAATTTAATGAGAAAAAAGATGAGGTTTTAAAGTGGTAGTATGAAGCCCTGTCCCATCTTTGTAGAATTAAGATAATTTAGATTTTATAGCCTAAAACAACTTTTGTGAAGATTAAGCTCATTTAGATTTTTTAAAAAGAAAATATTGCAGCAGAATCTGCTGCAGGGTTCTGTTGCTTTGTTTGCTTATTTTTAAGTTAACGGTCTCAAGCTTTGGCTATTGCAGGCTTTACAGGGAAAACCCAAATTTTTAATTATGTTGGCTTCTTATAAAGATTGAGTTATGTAAGACTTAAATAAAAGTTTTCTATCAAGATGATTGCCTTATTGAATAGGTCACTATTTAGGGCCCTGTAAGGACTGATACCTGCCATTTATGGAGACAGTGTAAGTTACACTGAAGTGTAAAAACAAGTCAAGCCTCAGACCAGCAATAAATTAATCAGTTTGGATTTTTTTAAAAAAATACTATTAGCCAATAAGAAACTAGAGCTAATGGGCCAATAGGTTTTAGTGAATACAGTTTCTATGTGGTTATTTCATGTGCAAGCTAGCTGGGCACCTGGAACAAAGAAAGGGGCCCTCTCCTGGAAACAATTGGTGCTTAAACATGGTCAACTAACTGCACACAAAACCTGAGAGGGCTTGAAAAGAAATTTTAGACACAAATGTAGAGTTTAGTACTGCTTTTTGCTGTTTTCTGGCAGCGTGCCACAGAGAGATTTTCCTCACTAAACAGCCGCAACAGGAATAAAGTAGTGGTTTTAAAATACTGGCTTTCTGGCCTGTGCTGCCAGCTAGACCTCTGATCCTTTTGGGAGACGGAGTATTTGGATGGGATTTGTGAGAAAATTGCTCTGGCTTGCTTGATGACAACTTGAACTGGCTGTGTCCTTGGAATTGGGGCACTGTGCATGGCTCAGAGGAGCAATCAGCTCTGCCATGCTTGACTGTGCAGAGCGGTGGGCAGCAACTACCATATTTACCATAATAACAGAGCAGGTTAAGTTTTAGACTGGTCAGGCAAACTAGTGTTACTGTATTACCCCTACTAAGGGGGAAACTTAAGTTTTTTGAAGTGCTTAACATTTTAAGAAGTTCTCCTGGAAAGTAAAGAATTACAGATGCACAATAGGACAGATCCAGACATAAAAGACCTCTAAATAGATCACAGTGTTGGATAAATGTACATAGGCTTAGGAGAGAGAAGAAAAAGTGTATAGAGAGTCATAAAATAAAGTTAATGCTTTCAAATAAAGGTAAAGTCTTTAAAGAGAAAAATACAGAGAATGATAGATTAAAAGACTAAAAAATAAGCCACATAAAAATGCAAATTTCACAGAGAGTCTGAATTATGTATATTCTGTTTTCTTTAAATTTTTTCATGGTAGAACAACTAAGTACAGAGAGACATTTCATTGTATGGGCTGCTAAGATAAATCAGCATTATTATGACTTCAGAATTTGGCCAAAGGATATGATGCTTTGGAAAAGAGGTTCTTCTATTGTTTTCACAGAAGATGAGAACCTGTGGATTGCCTTCAGGCGAATATGGTTTGATAGACCATACCCTCCTGAAAGGTTGCTGTGAACACCCTCAAAAACTTACTTTGCTCAAGTGCTGAATGAGATGAACCTAACACACAGGATACGCCATGAAGGACTTGATTAACAGAGCTCCCATATAGCACGAAGCAGTTTGGAGAGAAAAAGCTATGCCCATATTGTGAAATATTGTTTATAATTTAAAATATTGTTTATTTACAATTAAAGGGGGATATGATATAGATATAAATAATTTTTGCATTGGTGTGGATCTTGGTTTGTTGATACAAGTTTAAGGTCAATTTTGTTTTATATGTATATGCATACATGCATATATATATGTATGTATGTATTTCTGATCTTGATTAAGGTATTGTGATTGTGTAGCTCATTTTAAAATGTAATATATAAATAAAAATTATAGGTTAATAGAGTCATCTTTAATAGTCAAGCTTGTAGTCATGTTAGTTATATAGAGATATATTTTATTGATATAAAGAGATATATTTCTGTTAGATATTCTTCAAAGCTTTCAGATACCTTCAGAATATGGCATTTAGATGTTTTAAAAAATTAGGACTTTTCATGGCAAAAAGATTCATGAGATATCTGCTCCTGGAAGCACCAAGCTACTTCGAGTGGAAGATGGGCATTGAAGAGGCTCCTTAGCCTTTTGGGCAAGAAACTGTTCTTGCCTGGACTGCTTCACTGGACATAAAGTGCCCACAGAGAGATGACTGCTGAACTTGCCTAAAGGTGAGATGATCCTTAAGGTTTCCTGCTTCATAAATAAGTTTGTGAGATATTCTGCAGGATACAGAAGAAATTGACTGAGCTCCTGCTGCAGGGGCTTCTTTGTTCCACATGAACCTGCCCCCTGACCAAGTTTGCTCTTTTGTCAACGAGGTCCTTGGACAACCAGGAGTCCCTGTTCCTGCGCTGAGGAGATCCAAACAGAAGGGTGCGTGTGTGCCAGCCCAGAGTACACAGTTCGGGAACGGAGCACAGGGCCCCTCCAGATCCTGTTACAGGGGCTTCTTTATTCCACATGATCCTGCCTCCCCTAAGCCTGCCCTATTGTCTGTGAGGTCCAGGGCCCAGGAACAGTTACTGCTCCTGCACTGAGGCTATCCACCCAGAGAGGTGAGTGTGTGCCTGTCCAGCCGGAAGATCACTAAAAGGTAATGCAGGGCACCTCCAGCTCCTGCTGCAGGTGCTTCTTTGTTCCACATGGCCCTACCAACCCAAGTACAGCCTTTTGTCTGTGGGGTCCTTGGACTACCAGGAGTCCCTGTTCCTGTGCTAAGGAGATCCATCCAGACGGATGGTGTGTGCCACCCCAGGGAAGATGATCCAAAAGGGAGTACAGGACACCTCCAGCTCCTGCTACAGGGGCTTCTTTGCTCCACATGACCCTGCCTCCCCAAAGCCTGCCCAAAGCCTGTCTTGGAGGTCCTTGGCCCAAGAACAGATCCTGCTTCTGTACTGAGGAGATCCAGTCAGAGGGCACTTCTTTCCATCTGTGGGGTCCTTAGATCCAACAGCACGAGCAGCTCCAGTGCCAAGGGGCCCTAAGCGAGGCCAGACCAAGAAAACGTCCGAAGCACACAGTCAGTCACAGTAAAAATTGGACCAAGATGCCAAGACTCTCCTGGCTGCATCTGAAGGAAGAGATGGGCAGGCGCCAATGAAAGAATTCCTCAAACAACAAGAAAGGCAACATGATATCACTAGAGTCCAGGGTATACACAGCAAGAAGACTTGAACACCCTATTCCAGAAGAAGTAGAAGAAATAGGGGAAATGGGTAGAGAGAAGGGAGAAGGGGAGGATTCAGGAGAGCTTGGGGGAATGGGATGGGTGGGATGGAGGAAGGGTGGATATGGGAGCAGGGAAGTAAATATCTTAATTAAGGGAACCATTTTAGGGAATGCAAGAGATTTGTCTCTAGAGGGGTTCCCAGATCCAAGGAGAGGTCCCCAGATTGTTCCTTGGGCAGCAGAGGAGAGGGTGCCTGAACTGGCCTTGTCCCATAGCCACACTGATGAATATCTTGCATATCACCATAGAACCTTCATCAGGCGACGGATGGAGATAGAGACAGAGACCCACATTGGAGCACTGGACTTAGCTCCCAAGGTCCAAATGAGGAGCAGAAGGACGGAGAACATGAGCAAGGAAGTCAGGACCACGAGAGGTGTGTCCACCCACTGAGACGGTGGGACTGATCTAATGGTAGCTCACCAAGGCCAGCTGGACTGGGAGTGATGGAGCATGTGATCAAAATGGACACTCTGAACATGGCTGGCAATGAAGGCTGACTGAGAAGCCAAGGACAATGGCACTGGGTTTTGATTCTACTGCATGGACTGACTTTGTGGGAGCCTGGTTTATATGGATGCTCACCTTTATAGACCTGTATGGAGGGAGGAGGACCTTGGACTTCCCACGGGTCAGGGAACCCTGACTGCTCCTCAAACTAGAGATGGAGGGGGAGGTGAGAAGTGGGAGGGAAAAGGGAGGCGGGAAGGAGGTGGAAATTTTTAATAATAAATTAATTTTAAAGAAAAGAAAAAGAAAAAGAGGTCAAAGGCAGTTAATTAGAGAAAGGGTGGAGCTGTGCATGGAATAGTTTAGATTGAGAAAAGGGAAAAAGATAAATGAAGTACTTATGTTTTAATTTCAAAAATAAAACCAAATAAAAGATTTTACCTTGGAAAAAAAGAAATAGACTTTAAACGTAACATTATGAAAATAATAGAGAACCTTAAACAGGATGTGAAAAACTGCTTTAAAGAAACAGAGAAGACAAACAAAAAGGTAGAAGAAATGAATAAATCTCTAAAAGATACCCAAAAAAACAAGAAAAAGCAATCAAACAGGTAATGGAAACAGTTCAAGACTTGAAAAATGAAATGGAGGTAATGAAGAAAACACAAACCGAGGAAAGGTTGGATATGGAAAATAATACTACAAAAGCATTTGTTCAACTATGTTCATAGCAGCACTATTTGTAATAGCCAGAACCTGGAAACAACCTAGATTCCCCTCAATAGAAAAATGGATAAAGAAGGTGTGGCACATATACACAATAGAGTTCTACTAAGCAGTAAAAAAACAATGACATCTTGAATTTTTCATGCAAATGAATGGAAATAGAAAACACATTACTGAGTGAGATAACCCAGACCCAAAAAGATGAGTATGCTATGTACTCACTCATTAGTGGAATCTAGCCATAAACAAAGGACATTGAGCCTATAGTTGGTGATCCTAGAGAACCTAAATAATAAGGTGAAGCTAAAGAAAAGCATATAT